AGAAATAAAAATTTAAACCCCCTCCTCCCAAAAAACCCCAAGACATCCAGTGAGGACTGAGAATGTTCGCGATGGCCACATTCATGGACGAGTGAACTGAAAATGGGTTGGAATGGCTATTTGGGGACATTGTCTAGGAATATTCCACTTTGGCAGTATTTTTGTTCCAGGCCCTCTTGAATTTTATTTACCAGTAGTTCCATGCTTCAAATTCTTAACCTCTTGTCAATGGTTGGGCCTCAAATGGGAGGGAGGGGCAACGGACGCATGGTCCAAATTTTTAGTCATCATGAGATTTGAATTGTTCAGCTGCTCTCCCCGACACCCATGTGTTTATTCTACCAGTATTTGGGGACAATTGCATCCATATTGGAATAACAGAGAACTGAGAAACAGTGTGGAGTATTCAATTAAGTTTTACTCAGAGTAGAACCATTGAAACTAATGATCCTGGCTAGGATCCATTAAACCCAGTAGGGCTACTCTCAGTGAAACTTAATTGAATGCCACCCCATGTGATAAGGTTCTAGAAATTGGTGCCCCTGCAAAATGCTATTTGAATTTATTGGTTTTTCTTGCCTACCAATGCTTGGCGGAGAACCTATTTCTTCTGAAGTTGAAGCATTGAGGGTAAAAGATCCGATATTTTGTCTTTTCATAATAGACAAATTACTTTCCTTAGTATCATTGTAGACAGTATTAGGGGTCAATAGTATATTACAGGTTTATAAAGGCCCTTTGAAATTTTTACCTAGTCTTCCTTTAACCCAACAAGAATATTTTTCATTGTAGCTATATGCAGAGTTCATGTTGATCAATACTTATTGATGATTTTGTCTGCAACTGCAGAGTTCGCATTGATCAATACTTACTGATGATTTTGACTGCAATTGCATCTGCAAATATTTTCAAGCATCCTCATCTCGGGGTTGCTAGACTTATAGTAACTCGAATCAAAGGAACTGAGATGACTAACAGGTATGATACTTGCATGGAATGTCCATGTTCAGAGGTGATGCAACTCTGGCTACTGGTCATGGGTAGGGCTGTTCCCTTCTGTGATGCTTACAAGTTCTTGGTGGGCATTTTGCTGGCTGAGATGGACCTTGGTATGATCCAGCAAGGCTCTTACATTTTAATCTAGGATTAACCCCCTCTGATTGTTATGGTGAGAAATTTCGGTCGTGGACCCTCTCCAGCGACTCAGGAGAAATAGGCAACAGTTGTTCCGCTTGTTGCATGTCACAATATAGTATAGTAATCAATAAGCAACACCTTAATGAATAGCTTCCAGTCAGAATAATGCAATGGAACCCACCGTGTGTGCATGCGCATGAAGTTTTCTCCAGTGCTTGTCTTGATCAGAGTAGATCCATTGAAATTAGGGCATGACTAATTTAGGTTATGATTTCAGTGGGTCAGCTTTGAGTTGGACTAGCGTTGGACTCAACCAGAGAGAGAGAGAGAGTGTATAATGCTTTCTTGCTAATGTAAAAGAACAAGAAGAATTTGATGATTGATGGTTTTTGTATTTGGCAGAAATAATATCCAACACATTATTTTTTGACAACTTACCCTTGCAGACTGGGGACACTTGTGACCCATTCTAGACAACTACTGGTACTCAAAGCAGCTCTAAAGTGCACACACCTGTGTATAGAACCTAAGCAAATAACGGCATTATAAAGGGCAAACAATCTTCAAAATGAAATCACATATATAGAGAGAGCTGAAGTAGTACATTAGAACTCAATCTTGCGGTCTCAAAAGCAATCAATTTTTTGTTCAAGGAGAGTATTGCCTTTTTTCACCACTTATTTCAAAGCACATTGTTTTGCAAACAATGTTAGTATGCAAATCTCTAAAGTCTCATTCCATGCCTATATATGTAGGAAATTTATTCCTTAGCAAAATAAGGAATTTACTGCAAATAAATAAGTTTGTATTGTGAGTCAAAGCATTTTCACCAACCTATCTGTAATGCCTGAAAAACATTTCTGACAATATTAGCTTTATGACTGAAAATAGTCATACATCTTTTTTCTTCTGTAAGAAGATGTGTGATCTTTCAGTTTGAAAGAGAACATGGGATAGGGGTAGGTTTTGTTTTGGTACATTTTAACATTAAACAGTAAAAGTATAATACTGTTTATCCGGAGGCTTTCCCATACATTTTTCAAGCACTTGTCAATCGGCGTCATAAATACATAGTTATAAAAATAATTAAACACAGCAAAATAGTCCAGCTATACATTTTGAAGCAACTACAGGTTAACTTACATAGTGTATAAAATTGATGCCATCCTGAAGTTTATAGTGACTTAGTAAATATAAATGTGGTATATTGCACAGTTTATATAAGTAATGCTACAGTATAGTTTATTATACTTAGTCTAGGAATTATTTCCATTCACCTGAAATGTCATGTAGAAAGAATGCCATAAACTTAAGAGTTCAGGCCCCAGTTTCCACTTAGTATTAAAACTGAGGTATCAGGGTACTTGAACATTACTTCCAAATGTTAATAGATAAATTTGCTGCTCTTAAACCCAACAAGCATACAGTATATATTGAACAGATGCAAAGCTACTTGCATTCTGATAGAATGTAAACTTCATTCCCTTATATGCTAATCTACTCTGTGCAGTTCAGCCTTATAAAACTGGCTGAAGAAGCATGAACTTGCTAGTAACATGTAGACATTACTTAAAGGGAGGAGATTCTGACTATTTCTATGATGCAGGCATGATGTCCTCTAGCTGTTATGGACTACAGGTCCCATGATCTGACCAATGGGTGTGCTGACTGATGGGAATTATGGTCCAAAACACTGGCTACCCCAAGAAGAACTTGGATGTCTCAGCTGGAGTAGTCAACATATAGTTGACCAGAGTTACCAGGAACTGATAACGCTTTGGGTTATCCCATGAAGAATAGCATTATTCTAGCAAAGTTATTATCACATGGTCATCCCGGCCTTGCCACAACATTTCTCCTTCAAAGTCCAGCATCCCATGCTTCCTGGCCCTCATGAGTATTCCAACGACCTTATCCGAAATACGGACGTATCTTTCAAACAGGTCACCAAAAGTGACTTGGATCTTGCTATCACGGCGGTGCCGAGCCATCGTTCTAATGATGAAGCACATGTCTTTCATCTCTCGGTGGATGTGGTCCTCCGCTCTCTTGGCCCTTTCTGCCGTTTTTGTACCTTCTTTAGGACGGCCATAGCCTTCATCTCCTTTGCGCAGGCGGGTGGACATGGCTAGGTCGTAATCAAACTCCTCACTGAAAGGATTGAGCTTTTGTGTGATCATGTGCTCATCTGCCCAGCCTTCCCATCGTCCTCTCAGATTGTGGACGGGGCTGTATTTCTTGGAGGCCTTGACGCTTCTGTTTGCACTGAAAGAACCAAGAAATAGATGGTTTTTGAACTGCATTAAATGGCAACGGAATGCCTTTTAGTACTGTTCATCTTTTGCTTTAAAAAGGGCAGGCCACTAGGTGGCATGTTATCACCAATTCTAAAAGTCACATCTTTATAATAGCTTCATCTGAGCATGCTTAAAACTGTCTCCTTGCCATCTCTTTTATCTTGGAATGCCAGATTTTGTTCAGGATTGCATTATTACTATTTTAATAACCCTTTATTTAGCTTATTTGCTGCATTTGCATGGTCTTTTGTCCCATGAGGTCAGGTGGGGGGCAACCTTTCCTGATCGTCTCAACACACCTCTGATGTAGTTTGGCTGAAAGTGAATGATGGTCCCAAGGTCACCCAGTGAGCTTCATGAAGCAAGTTTGGTTCCCCCCCTGCTCTGAAAGGTAGGACCTGAACCAATGGCTTCAAGTTACAAGAAAGGAGATTCCGACTAGACGTTAGGAAGAACTTTCTGACAGTAAAAGCTGTTCGACAGTGGAACGGACTCCATTGGAGAGTGGTGGACTCCACCACTGAATGTTGTGGTGTTTTTTTTTGTAGAAGTTGAATTGCCACCTGTCATGGATGCTTTAGTTGAGATTCCTGCATTGCAAGGGGTTGGACTAGATGACCCTCAGGTACCTTCCAACTCTACAGTCCTATGATTCAATGATTCTGAGTTCCAGGGCGGACATCGTAGCACTCTAACCTCTATACCAGTGTTTCCCAACCTTGGGCCTCCACCTGTTTTTGGACTACAACTCCCATCATCCCTAGCTAGCAAGACCAGTGGTCAGGGATGATGGGAATTGTAGTTCAAAAACAGCTGGAGGCCCAAGGTTGGGAAACACTGCTCTATACCACACAGTGCTGTAGTATAATAAAACATACATCAAATCACACATTTCCTGTGTCAGCCTGTCCAAATTGAAAATTCTTCACAGTTCCACTGGAAGATCCCAAGGAAACAAATTTCACTGTTAACGGCACAGGAACCAAAAGCATCTCTGTGCCCACGGTATCTTAAAATTTGGTACATTAAGGGCTAAGATGTCATGATACAGCTGGGGCGTTACTTTCACAGCTCCTCTGGCCCTGTAGAAAACTACACCTCCCATCTAGACTTCTCTCTCCCAATCATCTTTACCCAGCCTACGGGGAGTTGACAAGGGTGGCATAATTCCAACCAAAAGTCTTCGATTCGGCTAGGGGGTAGGGCTGCTGAATGAGGAGGCTGTGGCACTGGAGCCCACCTGGAGCTGAGGCTCACTGGTAGCCCTGTCCCACCATTTGAGGAACCCTGTCCTAGGGGAATGCAGCCCTTGACAGCAAAAGGGGCCCCTTGCTCCTAGTTTTGTCCATCCCTCCCCCCAGCTCCTATTTACAGCCGTCCCCCTTCTGAAACCACTGCTCTGTTTTCCGAATTCCGGGACAACCTTGCATGCTGCCATTCAGCTATAGCTCTGAATATTTGGAAAGGTCAGTCCGAACAGCATTCCATCTGCTGAATGTCCCTCTGTTGTTACAAGTCCAATGATAACGCATGTGAAATACGTTAAGTGAAATGGTACTCCTAAGCTTCAGGGAGGGGGAAAAACCCATTATAGCTCACCAAAGTACCTATATTCTGAACCTTCTTTCTGATATCTTTGCTATCTGCTCAGTCACGCAGAGGGCAGATGCAGATACAGTACAGCAGCTGTCCTCTTCCCAATCTCCCGGTCTATGACCTCTTAGGCCTTGCGTGCCTTCCCCTCCTCCTTGTCTGATTCCTGCAAAGTTACAAAGGCTGGAAGCGGTGAGGGAAAGGAAAGCAGCTGCAAAGATACCTTAAGTTCCTGGATCCTATTTTAAAACTTCTGATTGCTTTGTGCCTCTGACATTTGCTCCCACCCCCTCCATTCTTCCCACTTACTTCTTTTAATCCTCCTTTCAAACTAAATACTATTATCACCTTCCCATTTCAATCTTCTCCTTAGTGGGCTAGATTAGCACCACTTGTTTTGCTTTTGGTTTGCTGCTTTGACACCCAAACATAATCTAACGCCAACTCTTCTTTTCTCATAGGAATCTTCTGCTGTGACACTTCCTGCCTCTGTTTCCCTTTCATAATTTCTTTTCCAATTTTTCATTTTTTATTAGAAAGGGCCAGCTGAGTCCTCTGTACTATTAGCAGCCCAATGCTGGGAAACGTCAATTGATTGGGTCAGAAGTATTATCTGAAACAAAACGGGGACTCAAAAGAGCATCACCCTTGCTATGGCCACAGGCACATCACAGAAGCATCACAGAAGGGACCACTTTAAATAGTCATGGCTTCCTGGTGCTCATTAAGGGTGCTGAGAGTTGTTAGGAGACTCATATTCTCCTCACAGAACTACAGTTCCCAGAATGCCTTAATCTTTACAGGGAACTCTGAGGATTGCAGCTCTGTGAGGGCAATAAGGGTCTACCAACTACTCCCAGAACCCTGATCAAACTCCTGCTCCCATAATTCTTTGGGGAAAGCCATGACTGTTTAAAGTGGAACCATAGTGCTTTAAATGTACAGTGTGAATGTGGCCTATGGCGTTCCAGATTACCAAATAGGCAAAGCATGCACTGGCTTATGGGCCCCATGGGTCCTGGCGACTGGATCAAAATAATATTGATTTGATCTTGAAAGAAAATTACAATCAAGATTTCTCAGCTCAATATTATCCCACTAGAGCATGAGCAAAAGGGGGACCATGAGATTTTGACTGCCATGGGGCCTCCTCAGGGTTTAATCCAGCACTGGGCTTCTGCCTGAGGCTGGTAGCATTAACAGGTATGGAGTCGAAGGGCATTTACCAGCAACTCTAGACTACAACTTCACATGGTCTGAGGCAGAGGCAGGAACGTGTGGTCCTCTAGTGCATCCCTAACTGTTGGCCATGAACTGCTGTTCAGCAGCATCTTGAGGGTCATAGAATCATAGAATCATAGAGTTGGAAGAGACCACAAGGGCCATCGAGTCCAACCCCCTGCCAAGCAGGAAACACCATCAGAGCACTCCTGACATATGGTTGTCAAGCCTCTGCTTAAAGACCTCCAAAGAAGGAGACTCCACCACACTCCTTGGCAGCAAATTCCACTGTCGAACAGCTCTTACTGTCAGGAAGTTCTTCCTAATGTTTAGGTGGAATCTTCTTTCTTGTAGTTTGGATCCATTGCTCCGTGTCCGCTTCTCTGGAGCAGCAGAAAACAACCTTTCTCCTCCTCTATGTGACATCCCTTTATATATTTGAACATGGCTATCATATCACCCCTTAACCTCCTCTTCTCCAGGCTAAACATGCCTGGGTCAGGGAAGGATCTTTGTGTTTCACAGCTATGTGCCATTGAGAAGGGCACTAGGCTGCTCTAGACCTTGTGGTACATGTCAGGAGGTGGATTGAAATGAGTTCTGGTGGAGCTGGATGCAAACGTTCTACTCTGCACCCAAACTGCCTACAGTGAAGCCAATAGGGTTTACCCATTACTACAGTATATAGCAGTGATCTTGATCAGAGCCACTGTGGTGTATGTCAAAATAAGAACAGGGAAACCTGAGTTTAAACCCCAGTCATCCATAAAGCTCACTGGGTGCCCTTGAGCTAGCCTGGGCACCATCCCAGAAGCCCTTTTTAGTCTTCTCACACAATTACAGTCATGCTGGAGGAAGAGCAAAGGTATGTCTGCTAGACTTGTTTCCGCCATTATGCGCTTGCTGCCTCCCTGATTTTTTATTTTAGCAGGGTGGGGGGAGTCTTAATAAGGAGCCTGGTGTGTGTGTGTGTGCATGTGTGTGTAGGTTCCTCTTGCAATTTAGAACCCTGTTCCCTAGTACTGTTGTAGAAAGAAAGAAAGAAGAAAGAAAGAAAGAAAGAAAGAAAGAAAGAAAGAAAGAAAGAAAGAAAGGGGAAGTCTTGTACATGACTTGCTTCCATTGAGGAAAGGAAGGTTAGAAATATGCTTCTTATTGTTGAATTTCTGAGAGTTCTCCAGACCTGTTAACCACCCAGAAGGGTCAGAACAGGATGGTGCGATTAGTTTGGTCACACTGGATGCCACACATCAGGGAGTGCCATGTAGAACAGAGTGTGAGGGAGGGGGTGCTGAATTTTAGCATTTTACAGGGCGCTGTTTAAATTTGAGAACCAAAAGTCCGTCTGTGATCAGAAGAGCAAACACAATCTGAAAGAGGAACTATTGTACCATCTCTCTCTCTCTCTCTCTCTCTCTCTCTCTCTCTCTCTCTCTCTCTCTCTCTCTCCCCCACCCCTCTCCCTCCCTCTCTCTTCCTCAAAGGTATGTTTCCCTGCCACTTCAGTGCTAGGCCAGCCATGTGAGAACCAACCATCTGGGTGCAAGCCAAGCTTGGCATACTGAGGAAATGCAAAGGTCTTTCAAAACGACCTTGCAACTTCATGGAATTCAAAACTTTGTGGTTCTGTATAAACACACTGGGATTTCTTCAGTGCCACTTGCCTGTTACTTTCCTTCAAGGCATTGTTTTTTAAGTAGGGAGGAAAGCACTTGGTGTCCTATTAACACAGCCCAAAGTGTGGGTGGTTTGTGTTTTGTCCACACCAACGTAGTGCCAGATAGTTCAGCTAGAGTTATATTTATTTCTCTATATTTAAAGCATCTTTATCCTGCCCCCCAAAAGGGTTCACATGAGGTGCCTCTGCAGGTGCGACCTTGTGTGATTTAACGCCCCTCCATACAAAAAATAGCCCCTACACTTAGAAAGCTAGATGTTAGGGAGGTTTTTAGACTAGCCATGTTCCTTACTGGCCAGCTCTCTATGTGCAGGAAATAGTTGTTTATGAAAGAGGACTGAATTATGTGGTTCTCTCCATTGGCAATCTGGTGGTACTATCCAGACAGAGGTTTATTGCTTGAATGAGAACCAAATTACAGGTAACGGGGGGTTCAGTGTTCGGGTAAAGCAGATGCCAATGGGTGCGAATGGAGCAGGAGCGTGTGAGGAAAGGGAGGAGAAATTGAAACCCTTTCCAGCCAAGTCTGCCATCCAATTAGCTATACATCAACCTGTGCTTTTCTACATGTGGAGTAACGAAAGTTGTTGGGGAGAATATTGTGTTTTCCAAGCAGACACTCAGCTGGCAAGGGATGTATTGCAGCCCAAGGACTACATTTTCTTTCTCAAGGGCAGAATTTTTTTTAAGGCAATTTCCTTCATAGGACGACACCAGTTTGAAGGAAAATTTCCCTCACATGGCAGTCCAATCTCCATCTTTAGCGATTTGCCAATCTGACTCATGACGAGAGAAGATTCATGAGGTAAAATTAATACCACTGGAACATGTACACAACAATGCTAATCATTGATGATGATGATGATTTAAGGTGGGCACCTTCAGCCTCAGGCTCCACGGTGGGTTACAATATTATAACGCAATATAAAAAACAGTTTAGATCAACTTATAATCACAAAAACAAGGTGGGCCCTGAACAAATACACCTCAAATGTGAAAAGCACCTCTTTGCATGGGCCTGCAAAAACTAATTCTGAGGGCTGGTTTGTCTGAGGCAGTGAGATAGAATATTTATTATTTCATTTTATTTTGACCTCCAAGGAGGTCAAGGTGGCATATATGGTTCTCTCCCTCCTCATTTTATCCTTACAACTCCTCAGTGAGGTAGGCTATGCTGAAAAAAGGGGGAAAATGACTGGTCTACCTAAGGTGACCAGCATGCTTCATGGTTGACTGAAGATTTGAACCCTGGTTTCTGAGATCCTAGTCTACCATCCTAACCATGACTGGATTGACCTAAGTCTCTTCGTTCAGCTGCTCTTTAGATTTTAAAGTACATACTAACCTGTATTAATATATTTCTAGCACACTTTTTAGTGCCAGATCCTTGCAAAGCACCTTTATGGAGGGATGTTAAAAACAAAACAATTGGCAGATATAATAAAAACAGCACCAGAGAAATCCTATGCTGGGAGTTAGCAAAATAAAAATAAAATAAATAAATAAAATAAATCTTTACCGCTTCTGAACAGCCGTGTTAAGGTGAAGCTCTTCAGAAAATATTTGAGAAGTTCATGTGACTCTGGCTAAAGGTTACTTACATCATCGCTACGGTTGCATTTTATTTTTAGTGAGTAGTTCGTGTTAATCTGGGCTGGCTCCAGGATGAACTGAATGGGCTGTTTATGTGGAAATTGTATATGTGTGGCAAATTTGACCCTCTTCTTTTCAGGAATAGATCTGAATTGGCAACGAAGCCATCCAAAGTTACTGGGAATACAGAATAGAAATGTTGGGCCATTGGTCAAAATGAACACTACAGAACTATATATAACAGGAAGTTTGCCTGCTTGGCAGTGTCCCACCAGTCTTAATTTTAGGTTTCTAGTTCAAGTGGGTGAGTGGACTGGCCATGATCCTTGACAGCTTGAAGGTTTTACACAGTCTCAAGTGGGTGCGAAAGCCAGTATCCCACTCCTGTGATAGTTTCACACCCTGTTTAAACAGGTGTGAATGACTATGCAGGGATACAGAAATGAGTGGAGAAGCCAGCTTGGTAATAGGATTGGGGGGGGAGGAAGAGTCCAGGTTGCTCTGGCAGTAAAACAGACTAGACTAGGAGCATTCCAAAATAGATAAATATCACATGATTGTTCTCTCCCTGCCTCCACTGCAGGACAATGTATATTGCTATTTTATGTCAATTATTTAAGTTACAGTGAATGTCCAAAATTTGATAAGTATTGTCAATATCAGACTAGTATTTCATGAACGTTCAGCGAGGATATAGCCAGCCAATCTCACAAGGGTTGTTGTGAGGCTAGTGTTTGGGGACTGGGGGGGATGAATCCTGTGCTTCTTGTTTTATTCTTTTTGTAAACTGCTTTGAGGTTTTCCTGTTTTTGTTTTTTGCAATCAAGTGGTGTGTGTGTGTGTGTGTGTGTGTGTGTGTGTGTGTGTAAGGAAGCAAACAAACAATATATAAGCTATATCTTTGGGTGCATTTATAATAATTGAATATTGCATTAAAAAAAAGCAAAAGTACAGGAATGCCTTGGGACTTTGAGGACTCCCAAGACTGGGGCTCGGTTCAGGATTTCAAGGTCCAGCTGGTGAAAGGTAAAGGTAAAGGACCCCTGGACAGTTAAGTCCAGTCGAAGGCGACTATGGGGTTGTGGCGCTCATCTCGCTTTCAGGCTGAGGGAGCTGGCGTTTGTCCACAGACAGCTTTCTGGGTCATGTGGCCAGCATGACTAAATCGCTTCTGACGCAATGGAGGACTATGACAAGTGCCAGAGCGCATGGAAACGCCGTTTACCTTCCCGCCGCAGTGGTACATATTTATCTACTTGCACTTTGAGGTGCTTTCGAACTGCTAGGTTGCCAGGAGCTGGGACAGAGCAACGGGAGCTCACCCCGTCGCGGGATTCGAACCACCGTCCTTCTGATCAGCAAGCCCAAGAGGCTCAGTGGTTTAGACCACAGCGCCACCCGCATTTCCTCCAGCTGGTAAAGGACCATCGCTCAGTAGTGGAGCATCTATCTACTTTACATGCAGAAGGCACCAGGTTTGAACCCTAGCATCTCTGGGTGCTGAGAGAGAATCATGTCTTAAACCCTGGAGAACTGTTGCCAATCAGTGTGAACAATACTGAACTAGATAGCCAATGGTCTGACTCAGTATACTCAGTATACTCCGGCTTCTAATGTTCCTATGTATGGAAATGATCAGCACTGCAAAAACTGAAAGGTTTTTCAAAACCACCACCCTTTCATCTTTGCAGCTGTGTGAGAATGGTGGCTTAAGTTGAAGGGCACTTAAATGAAACTGAAAAGTAAATGTGGGGAAAGTACAGAACTACAGGTGTCGTGAACCTGTCCTATAAATCACTTTCTTGTCATTATTCCTTTGGTGTGTTCAATTGCTACATGACACGTCTGGTGGCAACTCATGTGGTTCTGGCCAAATGCTTTTCTTTCTTTCTTTTTTAAGCAAAGAAAATGTTGCAGTCATTATTCTTCTACGTAGGGCAGGTGAAGTGGCTGCACACAGCTATAGGTACTTTGCAGTAGTTTTTCTTCCTGCAAACAACAGATCAGAAATTGTCCCTCTTTCCAGATTTGCATTGTGTGGATAATTGGCATTTCATAAAGGCCAGTTGCATGGGAGGGGCAGGGCAAAATCCAGCTGTGTGCAGCTTTCTCCTACAGAGTAAGCTAATAAGCATCTCCTTCTGTCTCTCCAAGCGGCTAGTACAAACTTTCGTCCACTAGGATACTAGAAGTAGCTATTCTAACAGTTATGTATTAAAACAGTTGTTTTACTTTGTTTTTAGAGGTGAGTGGCGGGTAATTAATTGTAGAATATTAGTTGTAACTATCTATCTATCTATCTATCTATCTATCTATCTATCTATCTATCTATCATCAATCTTTATAGATCTGTGACAGCTGAAGTTTGAGCCACCTGTAAACTCTCTATACATGCAGTAGATGACAAAATAGGATGTTTAGCCATGTGACATGGTGGCTACTAAACTCATTGGCTAAAGAAAAAGGATTATACAAATTAATGGATGATAGATCTAGCAACAGCCCTTAGGTATGATAAAGCTAAATAGAACATTCATTTCCAGAGGCATGAATATCAGGTGTTGCATCCGTGGTTTTTGTTTGTACTTCATGGAAGCACCTAGCTAACAGATGGAAACATCTGAAAACTTTAACACCAGTGCTAGAGTTACCCAAGTTGGCCCCAAGTGATGTAGGTTCAGGGGTCTTCCAGATAACCTCTTTATTCAGTGGACTTGTTGCAGCAGAGTGTTTTAATCCACTTTAATTGTGCAAACCAACGTTTGCTGTATGCAACCGAACCTCTCCTGAAAAACACTGGCATTATGGAGCCGTCATGTGACTACATTATAACCCACCAACCATAGCCTAGTATTTCCATTGTTAGGGTTATTTCAAAGACAGTTGAAAAAATATTTTACTGCACATGTTAGCATCTGCTATACCCAAAGGTCACTGGAAACTGCTTCTGTGTGAGGACTCCTCATGGGTCCTTACATGGGCCATTGTGCTGACCAGTTAATCACACACTCAATGATTTATTCTCCACCCACAGCTGAAATGTTCTTGATGTAGCATCATGGGAGAGACATTGTAGTGATGGCTGAACATGAGCCCACTTCGCAGAAATGTAAATGGTGTATAAATGCCTTAAATAATAATAAATGCCTTTAATAAATAAAGCATCCATCAGATGGAAGCAGTTTCAAGGGGGGCGGATCTCCACCTGGCAGGCTCATTGGGTGAAGCAGCCCTTGTGAAGCCCACCTAGAAAACTCCCGCTTGGAAAACTCGACTGTTACTCACAGTGATGATGAAGGCCGTTTTATCCTCACAGTCCGTATTTCTTGACTACTGTTGTCAGCATCCAGTTTCTCCTCTGCGTCTCCGCCATAACCGCTGTCCTCGGTATCTAAGCTGTCGCTACGATAATTCTGTAGTTCCGGTTCATCGGCCTTATCTTCCTGTTCCACCTGTTTCCACCCCTTCGTCAGCTCCGACACCAGGTTAGAACACTTCCTCCTCCTTGTAGGGGACATTTTGCCACTGAGAAGCTTATCAATGTCTTCGGTACTCTTGTCTGTTGACGAACACCCATTGTCTTTTTCATACTTGTCGCTGAGGAGACTCACGCCACTGCCTCTTTCGTAGGCTTTACTTACAATGGTCTTTGTCACCTCTTTGCTTCTGATGTTAAGTTTCTGGAGGGCTTCGTTTGATTCGCTTGGGGCCTGCTCTCCATTTTCTTTGGGCTCCTGATGTACTGATGGAAAGGACACTCCATCTTTTGATTGGTCTTTCTTGAAATCGGTTGGTGGTTTGGGAAATACCCTCTCCCTTGGGGGATTCTCCTCAGAGGGCACCCACCCACTGGGCTCCTGGACTTGCTTCGTATGGTGGTCAGATGCCCACTGCTGCCAACCCCGTGCCAAGCTGATGACGAGGCTAGCCGTACGGATCTTTCTGATGGCCCTCTGGGCAGGGGTGTTCTTCTTCAGCTGTTCTTCTGGAGACATTGTGTTGCCTGTGGCTTCCTCACCCATCCCTGCGTTAACACCACTTAGTTAAGGCTGCCCTGTGGCAAGTAACTGGCAGAAGGGAATGGTAGGGATTTAAATAGATGGTGGTGGGGATTTATGATGCTGGAAAGTATGGGAAGCATTTCTCACATGGAAAGAGGATCCTTACTCTGACAGTGTTCTTTTTTTAAAAAGCCCAGGCTTGCATTTCGCCGCAGCAGATGGGACACTGGATATGGTAAACATGGGTGACGCAGGACAGCCACAGCTGTGATGGAAATTAACAGCACCTGTATGTGCCCTCTCTAAAGGTACCTTAGTCATGCATTCGGTTTGACAGTAAAACGTGTTTTATGTAGCGGAATTTGCTAAATGGGATGGTTTTCGCTCTTTGCACTCAGGCAAATCAGTTAATGAAAACGCTTGGAATTGGGTAATGCCAGAAATATCCTGGCTATCAATCAGTTAAAAAGTCAATCACTCTTATTCATCAATAAAGGACTGCACACCAAGGCAGCTGAACTGAACACGGCGGGTTTGCAGTGACCACGGGATTTGGCTTGGGCATTCAAGAATAGCCTGTCTCTATCCCACGTGTGTTGTAGGCTTCTTTTCCTTCAGTTCACTCTTTGTTTACTACAGTTCCCAACCTATGAATGGGAAGAAAAGCATGGTTAAACATAAGAGCCCTGAGGGATCAGGCCAACGGCTCATCTGATCTAGGATGTTGTTTTCACTGTGGCCAGGCAGATGCCTGTAAGCAGGACGTGAGTGCAAGAGCATTTTCCCCACTTAGGATTCCCATAAACTGGTATTCAGAAGTGTATTGCCTCCAACACTGGGGGTATAACATAGCCATTGTGGCTGTTGTTGTTTAGTCGTTTAGTCGTGTCCGACTCTTCGTGACCCAATGGACCAGAGCATGCCAGGCACTCCTGTCTTCCACTGCCTCCCGCAGTTTGGTCAAACTCATGCTGGTAGCTTTGAGAACACTGTCCAACCATCTCGTCCTCTGTCGTCCCCTTCTCCTTGTGCCCTCCATCTTTCCCAACATCAGGGTCTTTTCCAGGGAGTCTTCTCTTCTCATGAGGTGGCCAAAGTACTGGAGCCTCAGCTTCAGGATCTGTCCTTCCAGTGAGCACTCAGGGCTGATTTCCTTCAGAATCTTCTTGCAGCCCATGTGGCTAGTGGCCATCAAAAGCCTTATCCTCAATGAATTTGTCTGAATCCTATCCAAGCTGGTGGTCATCATGACATATTTTGGATGACTAAAGCCTTACCTGTGCAGAATCATCTAAGTCCTGAGCATTCTTTAAACTAATGAGATGCATAGTGTGATTTACCAAACAGCAATAGCTGGTTTCACTTGGTTTTCTTAGTTTATTTTGAGGAAGTGATTTATTATTTTGTGGTGGCTGCTTGCAATAAAATAGCTGCTTGCAAAAGCATATAATCTTTCTCATGTAACAAGAGAAGATTCCCTTGTTTTTCTGTGCTATGTGCCGGAGGCATTTCAGCAGGTCAGCCAGCCATTCCCAAATGACATCAACTGAGAGCTCAAATGGGGCAAATGAATCATTGGTTGCATACTAACTTCATTGTAGTCATATCAGAGCTAAATTTACACTCTGTGCGCTGCCCAAGAACAGACAGAAGGAGTCTAGGTCCCCCCCCAGCCCTTATAGGCTGCCATATAATAAAAAAGCAAGTCAGAGAATCTTATATGGTAATAAATCAAGTTAAAATTTTTTTTTAGTGATGCAGCTAAAACTTGAGAACCAGTTAGCAACCTCACAGCCATATTCTGGATTAATTAATATTTCTGGACAGTTTTCAGAGACAGCCCCATTTACAACTCATTGCAGTTATTCAAACAGGAAGTCCCGCTACTTTTAACCCTTTTGTGTTGTCATTCCTTTGCACTGAAATGAATGCGGTGGAATAGTGTAATGAAAATAAAAAAAGAGGTCATGATGAACCTCTGGCCTGATCCAGCTATGCTATTCTTATCGTTCTTACTCACAGACAGCATTTCTATGAGGATGAAAACTCCTGTCCCACCGGAATGTAATCTCTGAATCAACCCTCTGTTTTCTATCGTAGGGAGTCGAATGCTGTTAGTCAGCCAGTCACTTGAATATGATTGTGTCATTAGCTAGTGAATGAGGAGATTGTGGGAGAAGCAAAGGACTTCAGGGCTGGCAAAGGGTTGAGTGATTTTATGCCTGTTTTGTACTGTTTTCTCTTTCAGTTTGTTTGTTTTAATTGCATTTTATGCTAGTTTAAAGTTGATTTTGGTGTGTCAAGTGTCTCAGAAGCCACCCATATAAATACATGTCTGAAATATGAGGATAGACATAACATGCCCTCCAACGTATTGAGTGCCCAACCAGGGACACACATCTTCCCACCTGTGCTTCCATGCAAGATTATGGAGCCCAAAATATATGCTTTCTTCAGGACCATGCAAGGTTGCAGTCTCCCAAAAAGCTCTCTTTTTCCAGGGGGAAAAGCACTTTTTCAGGTGAGATGTTCCCATGAAATTATGTGAGATCACAGCACCCAGAATGGAGCTCTCCACAACTGGACTTTTTGTCCTTTTCCAATCACATCCAAACTAATCTTATTTATTAAAATCAACAAATTGTGCCCATCTTTTCTTCTTTTCACAAAGTCCCCCACATGCTCGCACACTCACTCTTGGAAGCTTCTTGGTGTTTTTGGGGGGTCTCTTAAGGCTGATGTTTCAGAATCATTTACCTTTATTGCTGTGGACACACAGCCCCCCTTCTCTTGGCTAGGCATAATGCATCCTACTTGTGGTGTATATTTTTAGGGAGGCTTTTAGAACCAACAGCGCGTATGAACATCTGTTCACTTTGTGTGTGTGTGTGTAGGTATGCTAATTTGCTTTTCATACCATTAATCTTTGTTGTCCTTATTGATCCTTGAGGTGCCCGATTTTGGAGGCTGTTCAGGTTTCAATATCAAAAGATCCTAAAGTGGATGTGTGCCAGGAGTTTGGGAGGTTCCTGGCATCAAGATTGTCAGTTTTTGGGCACCAGGCTATGGCGTTTTTATTTCCTCAGGTTTTCTTGGTGCTTGAACGCAACCCTGAAATACAAGCTTGACTATCTGCAAAATCATTAGGGATTATAGTACTTTCCTGTCTCAGTTTGTTGTTTAGGAATTAATTTGATTAAAGAAGAAGTTGTTGTGAGTCGTGGCAAAAATGCAAATAGGCTGAAATATCTAAGCTAGGAAATGTTATGATGGATCAGTCCACCTCTGATTTCTGTCACGGCAGTCCTATTTAATGAAGATATAGCTTGTTTGTCCTTGACCTGTACATGCTTTATCCCTCAGAACCTGTGTTTTCTGACATTCAGGACAAATCACCTCTGATTCTGGAAGCCGGTCACTTAGTTGCGAACTGCTGTGTCGTTATTTGTGCTGTCTTCGTTCTGAACTCTGCAGTCATCTGGAGCGAAACAGGATAAATATCCTGTGCTGGGTGATATAAGAATAAATCATTTTGTTCGTCTCCACAAATGTAACTCATTATGGAGTGCCCTCAACATTTAGTTCATTTCCTTGTTTTAATCTCATTTGTAAATCGCTTCCCATGTAACACTCCGAAGCCATTTACAATTTAAAAAGCTATATGAAAGCATCGTTTCTAGTTCAGCTCTTGTACAACTGGCATGAAAACCTTCACATAACAGCTTTGTGGGAGGAGAAAGGTCTTCAACAGGTGCCGAGATTATAACAGAGACAATGCCCACCTTGATACGTAACAGGAGGGAGTTCCAAACTTTAGATTCCTAGAGCTGATATCTGAAGCTCCAGGTTGAAGTAAAGTGTCTCTTTCCTCTGCCCTCTTACATGTTCCCGCAGCTTATACATGATTGGGGCAGAACAGGTCTGCCATTCTCAGGGCCAGCCAATGCAGCCGATTGTCAAGGCTCTGTCAAGGCTTCGGGAAAGCTACTGCTACCCCCCAGTTGCAGCAAGAGCAGAGAAAACAAGGTAGAGTCCTTTTTAATGAGTTTTATTCAATTCTAATAGTGAGAGACAAAAGAACACAAGGCTTAACAGTGGCGTTGCTCCAAACTGGGCTCCTCCTCCCTCCTTCCCAGCAGCAGCATCTTCCCTTATGGTCCGCCCCGCCCCCCGTAGTCAGATGTCTCTGATTCCATTGTTCCTGTGCTCTTAACAAAAGTCGAGTTCTGGGAAAAGGGGGATCAGAAATACTTTCTAGTGACAATGTGTTATCTGGCTGCCCTGCCGCAGCCCCCCACCCCCCCGTTCTTCTAACACAGTCCTCTATGTCTGAGCTTTGACTTTCCTCCAACACCTCAAAGCCCTGCTGTAAATCAAGGCTGCCTCCCTCTTCTCTTGCAGCACCAGGAAAAGGGGTGTGTGTGTGATCTCCACCATTCCACCTCCTCCATCTTGCCCTCTTGAGTCCAGTCCCTGACACCAGTGCAGTCTAAGACTCAGACCACTACAATCAGAGAATTGTAGAATTGGAATGGAGCACGGGTGTTGTCTACACTTGTTGACAACAGGTCTTAATGGTTTCCAAGGCGGGGGAGCACTCCCATAAGCTCCAGCTGGAGATGTCAGTGATTGAACTTGGTATCTTCTGTGTGCAAAGCAGACACTCTTATCACTGAGCTATAGACCTTCACTGAACCTGAGAACCTGAACATTGCGCCAGCTCTAAGGCATGAGGAGGGATGTAAGTCTGTGATCCACTCAGACTGGCGGAAGTACAGCACAAAATTGTCTGCTCAGCAGTCCACTGCATTAACTGGGACTGAGGTGATTTGAGCAGAGAGAAACCAGTCAGAAAGAGGGTGGCTTTCTTCTAGATGCACAGGGAAATATTTTATGCCCATAAACGCACGAGTCCTAGACTGCATTGGCTAGTGTGGATCATGATGGCTGAGCAAAAAAACAAATCATGTGGAAGTTAAACCTTGTTCCAAACTGTAATCAGAGCAGGGCAGAAATCTTATCAGGACGGATAGGTTTTTTGTTTTTTTTAAGTGTGAGAACTTGGTATGCCACAGGATTCAG